AAGGAGCCGTCGCCGTCTGATTCCCGGTCCACTCATCAGCTACTGAACACGCAATACACACCGAACTGATGCTGTTTCTGATAAATGCGTCAGCTGACAGCTTTCTCAGCCACGGCAAACTGGTATAGTCTCAGGCTCTCATCACACATGTGGCATAGAATCTACTTGCTTAGGGAGCTGAGGACCGGAATTACAGGCTTAGCTTACTGAGCCTACACATTTACTTACATACTTACAGGCATGCCTAAGTCAAGTGACCCATGCTACCACATGCATTTACAGTGTCGGCTTATATCAGCGCTAACGCTCATGTCTCATCTTTGGGTACAGTCAATGCTCCCTCTATTTATCGCACCCAGTCCATCTCCCGTCGAAGCATAACAGTGGCTTAAGTCAGCGCTAAAGCTTTGACACATTGAGGCTATTCTCGTAGCTCACAGCTCATCTCACTCTGTCGTGGTATTTGGGTTCAAAGTCAATCAATAAACATGGAAAGTTTTCCCTTTCGTCTTGACGTTAAAGCTTTTCTTGGCCACTGTAATTATCCAGGCCGGAAGCACGCTTTAAATGTTATTTCTCTCGGCTGTATTGCTGGGTCACAGTGTCCAGTAATTATCCCGCTACACACAAATACTGGTGATAAAGTCGCGACAACTAAAGATTCGAGTGCTGTCAACCAAAAACTAATCCAGCTATGTACGGACATCCTTGGTGAGAGCGGGGGGTTGTTCACTCTGTTGAATATATTGATGCACAACCGCTCCCTAAACGGGCCGCGTGGTAGATACGCTGGACTAACGCAGACGTTATTCTGATTGCGTCCCAATACCAACGGCCAAACATGAGCAAGGGGGGGTGTGGTGGCACGCGCAAGTGCAGGCTCACGCAACGCCAGTCACCTGTGCCCAATCCTGCCTCCAAATTAGTACCGAAAGCGCAAGTGTATTAGATGCAACGCAAGCATACTATCACTTAAAACTAATCCACCCGCAAGTCACCGTCCCTGCACTTTTATCCTATGGAGTACATGGTGGACCTCTTCGGACCACGACGGTCGAATTGTCGGGTGCAAAGCAGTGGCGCCCTGTGTATCTGCTACTTAAATTAAATTAACTTAAATCAGCCAACGCCGTGTCTCCCGGCATCTTGCAGTAATAAAGAGACGATCGTTCTTAAAGAGAAGGCATTGTTTGCCTTGTAAATTACTTCTCACTAATATCAAACTTGCGCAATTATTTACCATACTGACAGGACAGGTACTGGCCAAAAGCTCAGACAAATGTTTCGCTGGTATTCTGCCGCTACACGACACAGCTGCGAGGCTTCGGCTCCCCAGCGTGTGCCCCAATCTTCCTTCTGGTAGATAATACAGTTTCAAAATTGTAGATTTTTCTTTCCTCAGGAGTTCATTTTTCATTTGGAGTGTATCGTTATATTCAAGGATCTACAGGCGCAGACCGAAATTTGATGTAAGTATTTGGACCGCAGTCTATCGGCCACTGCCGAGCAAACGTGGTGCACTACTATCATGGAAATTGATTCATTAGAAGTTAGGTTTATGGGCGTTCCGCTGGCGCGATTCCCTGAAGAAAATAAAAAGCCAACATTTCAAAAGTGCAGTATCTATCAGAAGGCACATGGGGTATGCGGGGTGTCTACTGATAAGCCGAACCTCTCGCAGCTGTCGCATGTAGCGCAAAATGTCAGAGAAACGCGTGTCTGAGCTTTAGGCTAGTACCTGTCCTGTCAGTGTGATAAGTAATTAAATAAGTTATACTACTGACAACTTGTTGGCAGCTTGTGAATACTACGCGGTTATCCCGTCGTGATTGATAGGGTTCGATCCAAATATTTACATTCAATTTAAGTCTGCGTCTGCAGACCCCAGATATAATGATCTACTTCAAGTTAGAAATTAATTTCTAGGTAAATTAAAAAAACTACAATAATAAAACCGATTACTTTTCAATAAAAGCTCGAATTGTTATTGCTATATTATACATCTTTCAAATAAGGCTAAATTTAAAGATATTTAAAGGAGGGGGTGCACGAAAAGAAGAAATAATAAATACAAAAGGTAAATAATTAGTGTACTGAATAAAGTCTAAGTTATGTTAGATTATAGGCAGAAGGACATTACCGACATAAACAAGGGGGACTAGGATAGCCATTTCTGGCTTATTAGCCGTCGTCAGCTAATCATACCCAGACCCAAGTGGTGTCACACCTGGGCCTCGAATTCGCGACCTCTTTGATCAGGTTCAAACGCTCTAACCATAGAGCTACGAGCTCGATGTCTTGCCGGTATTTGATCGGGGATATACAGTAGCAGATACGTGTTCACCGATCTGATAGAGGACACACTCGTCCGTCCACGGTTCTACTGACCCTGATGAGAGAGGTCGCGAGATTGAGGCTCTGGTGTGACACCACTTGGGTCTGGGTATGACTATCTGAGGACGGCTAATAAGCCGGAA